GTCTTAGACGACAAAAGTGCTTCGGAAGCTGCTACCAAGTTTATGGCCCAGGAGTCTGATTTGAGGAAACAACTCAGTTTTAAAAGACAACGCATCAACTCCTATCTCAACTACGCCACTATTTTTCTTGTCCTGATCGTCACAATCATCAACATGTTGATCGCCAGCTTTGGAATCCGACTAAAGGATCCGCCACCAGCATCGACAGACCCCGCTAGTACCTCAATGGAAATCCTTAACAACAGTCTTCTTCGTCCGCCTTTCTATCCCCCAAATGAATCATAGGCCCTTAACCAACTCACGCCAAGTCGTTCTATCCTTCGCCATTGCATGGAGCTCTCCCCATGTCCTTCCCATCTTTCTAGCTTCATTCCCCAGCTCTCTTCTCCATGTGTTTTTTTGTGTGTGTTGGGCTTCCTTTATTCCTATGCCTCTGTGGGTTCCAATGCAAGGACATTCTAGTTATGATGTTCTCCTGTTTTCTCAGTGTGTGTCCTATCCAACACCAGCGTTTTTTCCTCACCTCTTGCTCCACTGGAGCCTGTTTAATTCCCTCCTCAAGCTCTACATTAGTTATTCTATCATACCATTTAATTCCTTCTATTCTGCGCAGGCACCAGTTAATGAATGTTTGTAGTTTATCAGTAATTGCCTTAGTTTTTTTTTCATGTTTCCGCCCCATACTAACAGTACGATTTACTTAATAAATCCGTCTCTGCTAATGCCTCAGCGTTACAAATTTCGAATGTCCGTAAACTTACGCTGATTCACTGATTAATTCCCTGACAATTATATTTTACTTCATCAACATAGTTTGAAATAAGAGACTATCAATTAAAATCTTTTCGGAATATGTTTTAACCCGCACTGCACTGTCAAAAACGAAGTATGTGTGTACACACACCGTTTGAGCTCGTTAACTTATCAGGAGATAGTGTAGAAATCGATGGCAAAGTTCTGACTAACGGTAGCCTCTGCTTCGGGACTTACTTCCTATGTATTTTTGCCATTATATTTCTGAATACAACATTGTAGTATTAAAATAGAAGCAGAAAGGAATTTTTTTTTTTACCTTTTAATCTTCCTGCTTTAACACGCGGTGAGTCTATATAGCCGCCACACCCCCTCTCCCCAGAATCGTGAATTTAATTATTACACTTTTTTCTTTTCAAAACTGTTGAATCTGATAGCAAACTAAACACCGCACATTACTGTATAAGGAGGCACTTTATAATTAAATATATATATATATATATATATATATATATATATATATATATATATATATATATATATATATATATATATATAAACCCGTGCTACTGGGCCCTGTCATATAAAAAACAAGAATAGACTCACTGCCTACCCAAAAGCATGTCGTAAGAGTCGACTTCTTATTCTTCTTCTCTTCTTCGCCTGAAAACAGTCGTCTATATCAGCAATGTTGTCTCTTGTATACAAATCGTCGTTAGTTTAATCAGTGGTCCATAGAGTTTATGTTCCACTGTTGTTCTTTGAGGCCAAAAGGTTTGCCTTAATGTGTCAAATTCAGAAATACATGCTCTGCTGTCTGGGCACCTTTCCACAGGGGCACATGGCTGATACGCTTATCATGAATTTTGTGTACATGTGGTTGCATAATCGGTAACCCACTGTCATCCTAGAAACAAGGTAGCTAGCTATCAAGGTCTTTCCAGCGTAGATAGGATCGACGTCTCTTTTGAAGTCAAGAGTTTATTTTCCTGGGAGTCAAGAAACTAGCAGAATGCAAACAAATAAGTCATATATTTGAAACGGATGTACATTCCTTGTGGTTCGGGTTCACGCCTAGGGGTAGGCAGAAAAGCCACATTTCTCCCAGATTTACGGTATCTATCATGTCCGGTTTAACCAACTACGCTAGAGAGCCGGGTTTGCGTAGGCGATCATGTCTCTCCATAATCTGCGATCTCCTGCAGCATGTATCAGTTCGTGTGCCGACACACCTCCATGACATGCAACAAGACCCTTCTCTCGTTGTCTTTCTCTATGCCTCCTTCCACAGATCTTTCCAGTGGTCACCAAATGTTCTATTTTCCCTCTTCTCATAACAAGGCCGAAAAATGATGACTGTCTCCTTCTGATGTCCATAAAAAGTTGTCTTCGGGCTACCGCCTCTTTCAAAACGTCATGGCTGCTCTTTTAGGCTGTCCAAGGTATTCCAAGTATATCTATATATCTTGGAGTGAGGAGGATTAAAGAGATGTAGAGATGTAACGATTTCACTGTTTTGTCACATGTTTTATAAATGCCTCAATGTTTCAGTTTAACAGCTATGAAGTTCATAAGTGATTTCAACATGGACACTGCCTTCAGAAATCAGAAGGAAAAAATCACGACATAAGTAACATGTTTACGTACTATGATATGTGAAACGAGGGACGATCTACTTATTACCGATGATAACAGGAAGAGAGTTGCTACAGAAGCAATACTGAACTTTATAGGTAGACAACAAATCAAATGGTTTGATCATGTAACAAGATTGGCATCAGACAGGGCACCACAGAGAGCAACGTTATACAGATGCAACGGTAACAGAAGCTAACAGAAGGGCCCGTTTCAGAGATAGCTTCCTGTCTTGACGCTGCGAGGCATTCCAGGAATAAAGGAAAGGAAGAAGAAGAAGAAGAAGAAGAAGAAGAAGAAGAAGAAGAAGAAGAAGAAGAAGAAGAAAGAGACAAAGAAGAAGAAGAAGAAGAAAAAGAAGAAGAAAAAGAAGAAAACTGATTTCAGTCAAAACATTCTCAGCTGACCTGTGATGAGATAGCGAAACATGACAGGTTACGCTTACCGGCACGGCACATGATGATGAGATGATGATGATGATGATAATGATGATGGTGTTGATGATGATGATGGTGGTGATGATGATGGAGATGATAATGATAATGGTCGTGATGATGGTGGTGGTGATGTTGATGATGATGGTGGTGGTGAAGTTGATGATGATGATGGTGGTTGGTATAATGATGATGATCATGGTGATGGTGATGATGGAGATGATAATGATGATGGTCGTGATGATGGTAGTGGTGATGGTGATGATAATGATGACTGTGGTGGTGGTGTTGATGATGATGATGATGGAGGTGGTGTTGATGATGATGATAGTGGTGGTGTTGATGATGAAGATGATGATGGTGGTGTTGATGATGATGATAGTGGTGGTGATGATGATGATAGTGGTGGTGATGATGATGATGATGATGGTGGTGATGATAATGACTATGATGGAGATGTTAATGAGAATGGTACTGGAATTGAATGCCCACGGACAGGGTTGTTGTAATGTGGCCAGCTCAATGTTCAGCTAAATCCATAAAGATTTTACCACGTATAGAAATTCTCTATAAAAGTATTTGTTTACAAATTGTGTAACATTTCAAATACATTATTATATCTATTTGTCATGGAGCTGTGTTCTTGTTATATATTACTATTATGCTCACAAACTAGAATTGCGCCACTTGAGGAGTCACAATTCCCCCCCCCTCCGCCAACCAAGTTTTGAAAATGTGTTGAATTCTCAGTTTTGTCACAAATAACTACAGTGAAATATCATTAACACGAATTCGCTTTAGACGAAATATAGGTTCAACACGAACACACATTTTGGTGGTTATGTGTTTTCTCAAGGCAAACATTTAAAAAAATGGACTACTTTTGTAAGGTTGATACAATCTGAAAAAGGTACCTGGAGAATCTCTGGGAAGTAAAGATTGCTTGTTGAATGTTCAATGTTGAATTAGGAATCGACATGACAGCACTCGGGACACTCCCATAAGTACTCAGTCCTCATCTTCAGCAGCAAGCGAAGAGTTCCAATTCCGATTGTACCAGTAACCATCTGATTGTTTATCCGTCTCGCGCTTCCCTGAGTGTGGAGCGTCGGCCAGATCCCTTGGTAACTAACTTCTCGTAGCGCTATTTTCCTCAGACCGCAACGATCTATCTGCGCCTCCGCAATGTTTACTCGCTCCTGAAGGGCTCTCACCATATTTAACATGTTATTCATCAATTCACCACTAAGTGGTACTTAGCCGGCCAGTCTATATGCCTGCTCATTTCCCAACACACCAGCATTACCCGAAAAAGATGGCTGATGTGGTCCATTAATAAAATACTAAAGGTCTAATAACGGATCAACATCATGGCAGATGGGTGTGGCTCATAAGTGCTGCGTTCTTTTTCTAAATCAAGCCTGAGTCTGAAGAATCTCAGGACAGTGCTCGAAGTCCCTTGCCCCGGCGAGAATCCTGAAATACTTTGGGTAGATTTTTAACTCAAAATTTTGCCCGGATAGCGCCGTTAGGCTACTCCTTTTGATTTCCAACTGCCAATTGATTTTTTTTTTACGTGCGCAACAATACACAAAGGCGTTCGGTCTTACTACCCAGAGTCCAGAGGAAATTACTAGAAGTCCACTTTTTTGCCCAGGGAAAATGTGGAGTTACCAATCTACCCAAGGAATTTCATAATCATCGCTGGTGCAACGGAGTTTGTGCACTGAGATCTGCAGACTCGGGCTTGAGTTAGAAGTAAAACGGAGCACTTATGGGTTACTACTCTTGTGCCATGACACTAACACTTCCTAATATTTGGAAAAAAAAAAAAAAAAAAAAAAAGAAGAGGATGGGGACAGAGCGCTTATGGAGTGTTGTGGTGGCAATTCTTAATTCAACTTTCAACATTCATTTGAACAAAGAAGATTTAAACAAAACAGACTGAACAATTTATTGCTTGTAATATTTCGCTGTATTTCGTCAGGTGTGTACTACAGTAACAATTGCATAAATGAAGCAAATAAGTGAATCCTTTATAACTGTAGTACAATTTCAGATACAGCAAATTATGCCAACAATTTGTGGAGTCTTTTTTGTTTATATCTTCTTTGTTCAAATTTACCACGTGGCGGCATTGCTTTGACTTCATAATATGATAGTCTTACCGACATTTTCTAAAACACAGCAATCTAAATCGTTCGTTACTCTGTATGGTCACATAGAAATAATTTCCTGAAAATGTGGTGCGGATAATATCGATTTTGGGAGAAGTGCAGATAGTGGGGGAGGGGGGGGGGTGAGAGGAGTTTTCTCAATATCCTACCCCAAACAAGGACAATCCACAGGTCACAGATGAGCTAATCCAACAAATTAGCCGGCTCTACCTTGGTTAAATAGTGCCAGTCCAGGAAACATAAAAACTTTGTTATTGCCTTTAGAGAGGTAAGACGATCGGAGGAG